ATCCGTGTGGCACTGTGACCTTAATCGATGAAAATGATATATGTGTGTAGCTAGCTACTGGACAAATCTAGGCAATTTACAGTTAGTTTATGAACTTTGCAAGCTAGATTTTAATCTGAGTTCCTCCTCCTACTCACATCTTCGCAAGCTAAGAATCTGAATTCTTTGTATTGGAAATGCAGCAAAATCCTTTCGCAGGCAGTGGAAGGAAGAATAAACATCTCATCAATTATCAACACTTTTTGGTTATCTGGGATGTTTAAGAAAGAGCAAAAATTTATCAACGCGTGTACATTTTACCGTTTTCTCAGCTTACAATAGGTTTGAGCTACCTTTTCTCCTTTTGAGGAAATCAAGTTGTACCTAATGTCATAAAAACCAAGTGGACATGCTGCAGAACATAAAGGCACTTGCGGTAACTAACATACCAAGTGATCGGTTTTTATTAGTTAGTCCCTCGAACTGCCCATTTACTTCTCTGCTTTACTGGGCAATGAGAATTTTACAACATGTTCGTAATTTTTAATTTCAACCATCATAACTCAAACTAGATTTGCGCTACAGGTGGAGCTGAAGAGCAATACATGTGGAGCTCAAAGGAACACAAATGATCTCACCTATTGTGGATCGAAGAAGGTTTGCAATACTAATATATTATGCAGGTTAGCATAACTCAAAAGTTGTAATAATTTGATAAAATATAACAGACCATGAATTTTGTTTTTACATAAGAGAATCTCCTATGCACAATCTAATTGCCTACCATGTCAGAATTATCTCTGTTTCACCTGGGGCCTGATACATCTGAAGCTAGAGGTGGAGCTGAAGAGCTCACATTTCCTGTGCTACCAAAATTTGCTGGAGTTGTTACAACAAAATTATGCTCTATGTTGAGGTCTGCGGTCATGACACCTTCCAATACGTTTACAACCTCAGACATTTTAGGCCTTTTTTTGCAATCAATCTGCAAGCACCACATTGCAAGCATCATCATCTGAATTGCATCTTGCTTGTGTGCTTGCATGTCGTTGCTGTTATTGTCAATCAAATCTACCAACCGATCACTGTTTACCTTTTCCTCCAATAGGCTTATGAGATGGATGCTCTCTTCTGACCGGGAAGTGTCGAGGTTCTTTCTTCCACTGATGATTTCCATGACCACGACGCCGAAGCTGTAGATATCGGCCTTTTCCGTGATCTGTGATGTCAACCATTCAGGAGCTAAATATCCAGGTGTGCCCCTCATTCTGGTAACAACTTGGCTCATATCCCTGTCTATGAGTTTGCATAGTCCAAAATCAGAAAGTTTAGCATTAAAGTCATCATCTAAGAGGATGTTTTGTGGTTTGATATCCAAATGAGCAATTCGTTTTGTGCACTCCTCATGAAGATAGGAGAGTCCCTTAGCTATATGAGTTATAATCTTGCACCGCGTGCTCCAATCCAGAGGAGAAGCATCATTGTCATGTCGACAATAGATCCATCTGTCCAAGGATCCTTTGGGCATGTACTCATATATCAAGAGCCTGTGGGATTTCTCTGCACAGAAACCAATCAATCTCACCAGATTAATATGATGAATGCCGCCAATTGTCTGAACTTCTGCCGAAAATTCTCTTTTGCCCTGACCAGTTCGATCCAAACGTTTTACTGCAATCCTTTCACCACCAAACTGTCCCTTGAAAACAGACCCGAATCCTCCTTCCCCGAGCTTGTCTGCAAATTGCTCGGTTGCTGCTCTTAGCTGTTGAAATGTGAACCTCATTGGTGTTCCTTCTAGCTCCCCAAACTCTTCCTCTTCTTCCATCTCATGTTGTTGTTGTGTTCTTCGTTTACATATAAAGAAGGCGACGAGGAACAAGATGGTGAGCAAAATTAAGCCGCCTACAGGAGCTAGAATTGCAACAACTCTTCTTCCAGAGGGGGATTTAGGTTTCATGCTTGTTGGCCCAATAGTTGTAGGCAGAGTACTTGGGGTCGGAGGTGTTGCCTTGGCCGGGGGTGCAGGCAGGGGACTTTCATCTGTAGGTGAGAGTGTTTGATTAATCAGGGGACAGAAGATGACCTGGTACTTTGTGCCCGACGGGCAAGAGTAAGTGGATGTATCATCAGGCTTGCTGTAGGCATCTGGGCACATCTGCTTAAAGAAGGCTGAGTAACTTGTGTTGCAACGGCTTGCCGTGCTCCCAGTACAGGGATTGTTACACCCTCCTGGAGCCTTCAGCTCTCTTGGGCACTGCGATGTGATGTTGGCTGCACAACGCGGCCCCTTGCTGCATCCTGACCTTCCCTGAACCGGCACCGGCAGGAAGTCCATGGGCACGTTGAAGCCATCAATGAGCGAGATGTCGAAGAAATCATCATCACTTTGGCCTTGGGCAAGACTGAACTCGCCCAGCGTGATGGGCGATCGAGTACTGACCGTACAGGCGAGCAAGCCGCTGCAGTCGCCAGTTTGGCATGACCCGCCTTTGCCAAGGAGTGAGCAGCCTGTGCGTGCCCAGATGCGCCCTGTTGAGGTACCAGCGGGCATGTTCAACGCCCACGTCTCCCCCGGATCAAGCTTCACGCCACCTCCCGGCAGAGCGGCTGGCCACACGGTGTAGGAGCATTGGTTGATGATTTTGAATGTGGTGGCCTCGCTGGTGGCAGCGAGTAGGAGTGCGAGGAGGAGAGGCAGGAGCCGGAGAGCCGAAGAGGTACTCGCCACTGCCATTTTTGTTACGTTTTTTTGCTTGCACGCGTTAACTTGAATAGGAGTCTTAGTTGGAAACTTACAATAGGGTCCTTGTGATGGCTAACAGGGTACAAGAGTGGTAGGGGATTGTAGACAGGGACCGCATCGACAGGGTCCTTGTGTGGAATCATTCAACGGTCAGCATGAAAACAGCCTAACGTGTCTATAGCCATGACTGTTTGATAGGACCAGACTTGCTTGTTTGCTTGTTTAGTCCCTTTCGAATTGTAGTTGTACGTCTTCCAAAGAAAAATAATGGGAATCTGTACATGTGCATAACGTATTGTGTGATTAATTTTTCTGCTTAACAAAATTCTCTAAGCTGATGTAGACCTAAACCATAAACCCTAACTGTGCACTTTTCTGCCTTTCAGGAAATTGTTAGGTTGCACATCTTAGTTTGTTCATTCCTAATCTGCTGTTATGATTTGTCACGGCATTCCTGATCCAGAATCTGGAGTCAGCAACAGTTTAGAGGTACCTGGTGTTTGGGGGCAAGCTGAAGCTGACAGCGGTTGGCAGCTGCCTGGAAGCAGCTGGAGGCCTCCTTCACCAGTCGGCGAGTGGCCTAGCTATCATATGCCATCAACCACACATGGAGCCATGCGTGTCTCACTCACCATAACTCTGTGGTTTGCATGCAAACAAGGGTGGCGAAAACCTTGTGATCTTTGCGAACATCTCTGTTTATTGGTATAGCTGTTTTATATGCACATTTTTGTAGCGTTGAATCTGAGGTACGCCTTATTTTGGTTATGACGTGGACAGAATTGAATCTCGCAGCTGGTATGGCACCATCTTAATTATCTTATTGTAGTTCTATTCCTGAGCACTAGTATGTACTTTAATTCTCTCTTCCAAATTAATTGAAGTTCTAGTTTTGTTCATTTTTTAGACTGAAGAAGAAAAAACCACCATGGTTTATCTTTTGGATTACTAAGCAGTGAACATTTTGCAGGTTAAAAGTTCCATTGAATGAACTGGAATAGACAAAGACTTGACCAACGCTATACTATCGTTGTGGCTGAGACGACTGTTCTACTGAATTACCTCGCCTCGTATATATCACAACTGAAAGACATTCCATAACACGAAGTATTTGGCAAGTTTTGTTCTTCTTTTTAATCTCTAAAACATGCATGTTTTTTGTTTAAATCTCTGACTTCATGGATTCCGAAAATTTGAGCAGAAACCCAACGTCATTAACCTTACTATTCAGAGAAACAGACACCAGCTTGATCAAGATGATCTTCAAGTGCCTCAGCATGTCGTCGTCTCACGGGTACTTCTATCTTAAACATACTCTTAAGCTTTGTGCAGTGTTCTGCCATATGGTCTGGGGAAAAGATCTGTGGTTTGAGGAAATGAATGAATGCTTGTAGCATGGACAGCCGAGTGCCTGACGCCGCGTTCTTGTGATTTATGAATGTGTCCTGAAATGAGAATGCAAGCAGAATTTCAGTCAGAGTCGTGCTGTGCTGATGGATGTGAGCCATTAAAGAGTTAGTTTTGGACAAGCAGCAGCGAGCTCAGTCTCAGCGGCCGTACCAATTTCCACCGCATTATTAACTTCACTCGTGTAAACAATCAAAATGATTTGTGAAACCGTGCTTACGCGGCTTGTTTTGTATATGCAAGATTATGTGGCATCACCATATATAGTCGAACGGATGCATATATGCAAACAACTTTCAGACCACGTTTTGTTTTTATCCAAAATAACATGCTAACTTTGCCAGCCCAAATGGCGATTTGGGCTGATTCTAGAGCAATTTCCAAGCACAACCATATAAACCAAGCAAGGTATGACGGAATCTGACTTGAAATGATACTTTGGGAAGCTGAACTTCTGTGAATTGGATTAGGTATCCAAAAACATCTTGCTACATTATAAACTTGGCTATATTAAGGCGTGATATTTTTTTTCTTCAGATATAACATAGAAACATTGTCGATCGCACTGACGTGATGCGACAAGCTCTGTGAGAACTTCAGCAGCCCTAACTTCACCTGGAGAAAAGCTCTGTGCCGTCTCCTACGTATCACGTATGGTCCAGGGAAAAGCTCTGTGGTTCGAGGAAATGAATGAATGCTTATAGCAGGGACAGCTGTGTTCCTGATGCCGCGTTCTTGTGATTTACGAATGTGTCCTGAAATGACCTGGAAATGAGAATGCAAACGGAATTTCAGTCAAGAGTGTGCTGTACTGATAGCTATGTGTGAACCATTACAGTGCAAGTATTGGAGAAGCAGCAGCAACCTCAGTCTCAGCAGCCGCTCCAATTTCTACCGCATAAACTCCAGTCGTGTAAACAATCGAAATGACTTGCACCACTTCTTTTGTATGGAAAGATTATGTGACATCGCCATGTATGGTCAAACGGATGCATATATGCAAACCACGTCCAGGCCATGCTTTGTGTTTATTCAAAATAAACATGCTGACTTTGCCAGCCCAAATGCCAAAAAGATTAGAGCAATTTCTTAGCAAATCTGTTAAATCGGACCAAACGGAATTTTCCGTCAGGTCCACACTACCTCCTGCTGTCAATCTCAAGGAAAACAGAAGCACTGGTGGATCCTGTACACATCAGATTTGACAATGGCAACATGATGTTTAAACTTTAAACCTCAGCTGAGAACAAGAATAAACAGAAATATAAGTTTAGGTGATATATACTTGGGCCTGAAACTCGCGGCTAACGAGAAGAGCTGTCAAGCACAACCATACAAACCAAGCAAGGTATGACGAAATCTGACTTGAAATAATACTTGGGGAAGCTGAAAATCCCTGAATAGGATTAGGTATTCAAAAGCATCTTGCTACATTGTAAAGTTGGCTAGATAAAGGCACAATAGGATTTTTTTTTCAGATAACATAGAAGCACTGTTGACCGCATTGATGTGATGCGACAAACTCTGCAAGAGCTCCAGTAGCCATTCCTTCACCTTGAGAAACAAATTCATTATCAGCTCGGCGACATAAATAAAAGCTATGTAAACATATATCATATTCCTATCTATATCTACTAGGAATACTGATGAAAAGATAAACATCCTTGAACCCTTTTTCTTTCGCCTTGCTTTATATATAAAGCAACAGCCAAACAAGTACACGACCAAACAATACAAGATAGTGAAGTGGCCCTCATACAATGCCGATCCCAGGATACCGGATCACGCAGGACACAAGCGACTACGCTACCGAAAGAGAGTCCAGGAAGATCGAGTACAACCCGGTAGGGCGGCGGCCCGGCGACCCGGCGGCGGTCGCCGGCGGTAGGCGCGGTGGCGGTGCTGCCCTTGGCGGCAGGGCAGCGTGGTGGCGTGCGGTGGCCGGCGGTGCGCCCCCGGCCCCATCTGGGTCCTAGCGGGCTGGCCATTGGCGTGGCTGCGACGTCCTCTGCGTGGCGCGGAGGAGGAGCGGCTCGGACTCAAGGTGGTGGCGCCGATGCCATGCCTTCTGCAGCGTGAAGGCGGGAGCTTTACGGGCATCTAAGGACCCGGCTGGACCTGTGGGTCCACGGAACCAGTATGTTCCTGCTGTCACGTCCGGTCGGTTACCGTCGTTGACAGTGGAGGTTGGGCCCTCCCGCGTGCCGACGATGCTGCTGTCGAGAGTCCCGGCTCCTCTTCTTCGTTGTGCGGGCCTCTTTCGCGGTGCCGTGGTGAGACAGCGCGGAACCTTCAAGACCGTTTTGGCGCAGAGCGGTGGTTTGTTTGGTGGCGTGCTTCGGAGCGCCCGAGGTGAAGGTTGGGATCAGGAGAAATCCCCGTCGGCCGAGCCAACTCCGACGCGGTGGTGCCTGAGGGTGTCGCCGAACCTTCCTGGAGGGCGTCGGAGGTACCCTTCCTCTCTCCTCGTCGCGTACCGGGGGAAACCCTTGGCAGCAGTGTCGTCATCGTCGCGTCCCTTCTTGGAGGTGTTGGTTGGTACCGGCGCTTCGGAGTATAGGAGCTTAGTGGAGGATCCCCGGTGGGCGAGGCAGTCACGAAGCTTCTTCATTTTTGTTGATCCGCCGGTGTCGGCATTTGTTTCTTCTCTTTTTCTTTTTCTTTTCTTTTGGGCGTGCCTGTGCTGCTTCCGCCCCAGCACCTATCCGCTTGTACCGGTGATGTTTGCTTTGTAATACAAAGCGGGGGGAAACCCTATTTCGAAAGAGATCGAGTACAACGCCATGCTACGTCCTATAACACCTAAGCTCACGACAATGCCCTCAAGAGGGAGAACGGCGCTGAGCGTCGCCACTGCTGAGTCGTGACGGACAAGGGTCTTCACCCGGAGCCCTAGGAGAGAAGCACCACGATGACATCTTCAAGAATAGAGCGGCGCCCGCGAGCGCCGTCGTCTTCGGCGACTAAGCGTGGAGCTTTCGCTTTGCAGCTTCCCCGTGCCTCTACGAGGTCTTCAAGACAAGCGTAACGAGACCAGATCCTCAGGTCAGGATCAGGGTGCACCACCGCCAAACACAGCGCGCACCCGAGCCACCCGCCACCCACACGCCCAAGAGGGAAAGCCACCACCATCGCCATGGTGGCCGCCGGAGAGCCCACGATGCGGACCACCATCCGGAGCGGCCACCCGACATCCATTTCCCAGACACCACCAACCGTCCACATGGCAGTGCCTCAACCTTGAAAGGGAGAGTAAAAGGCGTCTCCCTTCACTCTTTTCCCGACATCAGTTAGGGAACCCGGGCTGACGCCTCCACGGTAGGAGGCATCCACGCCTGCGTCCCTAGCCAGTCCCGATGGACCGAGGGAGACGCAATCCCATGACTACCGACGGCCGCTGCCGAGCAATCTCCCACGACGCCATGGCCGTGGCAGACAGCGCCGATATGCTCGATAGAAGAGCAATGTCCTGACCACCACCAACCACCACAACGAGCCGAGACCAATCTCACCTACCCGAAGCTAACGCACTTACCCGTCTCGGGCCCAAATCTGGCCCACCCGAGCGCAAGCCCTAGGGAAAA